AAACCCCGGGGTTGAGATAAAGATGGTTTAATAGGTGAAGGAAAAGTGGGGAGGTGGGGACAATGACACAAATGGCGCAAAGGAGATCACTTGCCACTTCCCATGAGCAGACCAGTGCCCAGCCAGTGTCTGAGCAATAACCTTGGAAGCCAAAACCACCCTTTCTTTCTCTACCACAATTTTTATTGCTGAGCATTACATTATATAGTACAGAATAGCCCTTTGGGCAGTTAGGACAGCTGTCCTGGCTGCATCCCCTTCCAACTTCTTGCCCACCCCCAGCCTACCTGCTGATGGTGCATAGTGGGGACAAAGAGAAAGCCTTGACGTTGCACAAGCACTGCTTAGCAATGACTAAATCATCAATGTGATATCAACATTGTTTTAGCCACAAATCCAAAACGTGGCACCATACAGGGTGCTATAAGGAAAGTAACTCCCTCCCAGCCAGCCCCAGTGCAGTATAATACATGGTGTGTCCTGTTCTAGGTGAGCTCTGGGGATTTGTTTCAGTCTGAGGGCATGTCCAGCACAGAACTCTTAAAAAGAAGTAAACTACAGCCTGTATTGATGACATTGCCCATCAAATGAAGGTTTAAGTGGTCCGATCTGCTCAGGAGGGTCCATCCTTGTATGCAGTCCACACACACGTTTGCCTTCCTGTCTGTCAAGACTTCTGACTTGACCTCCAGAGGCACTGGGGAGAATGGCCCTAGGATGTTTTTCATGAGAAAAATAAACAGCAATTTTATGTTCTGAGCAAGCTGCTGTGTCTGGTGATTTTTTTTTTTTTTTTGGGGGGTTTTTCTGCTGACCCTCAAAGCAGAAGGCCAACTGTTCCAAGGGTCTTTCATTCCCTCCAAATCCCTGCTTTGTAAAGTAGAGCTGAGATTCAGAAGACCTTGAAGTGTGTGGCTGTGACCTTAACTTCAGCAGAACTCGTATAAGTTAAAGGGTTTATTTCCATTTTCTTGCTCTCTGCCTTGCATGTGTTTATTTTGCCTGGTGTAAGCATGATGTTATCTTTGTTTCTAGTACCGGGTTGTGGTGCCGATGATGGGGGCCATCTCGGATCTGTGTGAATCACTCTTCAAACTCTCTGGTGTTCCTGCAGAAAATGTAAGGATAAATGCAGCACAGTAATTTTGATAAATGTTTGTTCTTGAAACATTTTGGTGGCTTAGCTTTTAAATGGGTGATAAGCTGAACTTAATGGAATAGTGACAAAACCCTAACAAGTTTGAATGCTGTACTTTGATTGTAAATTTAAAAGATACATGAAACAATGTGTTTATTCTGATACTTCCGTTGCAGTAGAGAGGTTTAAGAGAAGGGGCAGAAAGCTAGCCCCCACCCCCAACATTTCTGATAGTGTAGTTTCCTAGTACTGAGAGATGTTCAATGTCTGTTTTGGGTCCACCTCTTCTTGAACATTCTTTTAATAACAAAGAGATCAGGTGAGCTTTTCCAGAGGGAATGGTTTTGTTGTTGGTGGGGTATTTTCAGGATGCCAGCGTAGCACTTTAATTTATTTCAGTTAATTATAGATGTGAGTGATCTGTGCCTGAAATCCTAGCCTGTTGCTGCTTTGATGTTGGGATCTGTGCTGTTGTTTCCACCAGCTGTTGGAATCGCATCTCCTCAGTATCTCTGTAGAATCAGTCTGTTATTTGCTTTGTTTTTCTGATCCATCTTAACAAATACAGCTAATTAGCTGCTGGGTGCTCTTATAGAAAACAGTGCTGATGGTGTGCTGAAAATTCTGATAAAGAATAGGAATAAACTATTGCTTGAATTTAAAGTTAGTTTGCCTAAATTTATGTAAGCTTTTATTATAATCTCTTTGCAAATATCACTTGCTGTTCTAGATGGTGGTGACAGACGTGTATAATCATCGATTCCACAAAATCTTCCAAATGGATGAAGGTTTAAATCATATAATGCCAAAAGACGACATCTTTGTGTGAGTAAAGTGGGAAGATGCCACGATGCAAAGAATACTACAAAACACTCGCTTTGGTTTCAGGATATAAAACCCGATTTCTGCCCCCCCTCCCCCCCAGCCCCAAACCCTAAGCCTTCCTGTAGACCTTTTGCATGACTTAGCAGTGATGCAGCACTTCTTCTAGCAGCAGATCAGCATGTGCAGTGTTCAGTAGGTGTTTTCCTAACACAAAGGAAGTCATGGCCCTGGGTGATAATGAACTTTTTGTCTCGTCTGTGATCTGCAGTTTGGAACTTTCTACAAGCCTATTTCATAGATTATAATCTATGTCTGGATTACAGTTACGCTTTCACTGGCATTTTTAGGCAAGCTCAAGCTTACTGTTCTTATGCTCCAAATCAGCCAAAAGCCTTGGAGCTGTTATTAGGATAGCATGAAGTCTAAGCTGTTGTACTCTGCCTCTTCTAACACCCAACATAGTTGTTACAGCGCCCAGCTAACCATGACTGGAGGTTCTTGATAGACTCTTGACTGGCGCTTACACTATTTGTGCCTTAACTGTGGTTGCGAGGGACTTCAGCGAAGCTGAGAATTTGGTTGTGCTTGATGTTTTACATACATGTGGTGGATGAGATGTCTCTAGTCATCTGTGAAATCTGGTGAGGAGAGCAAAAGTAGCATTCCTCTATTGCAGCTGGAAAATGAAAAATATTGCATGTGAAGTGCAAAACGGACTTTGAGGCTCACAACTGAACCTGGGGCTTGTGAGGTCAAATCCAGCCCTTCATCACAAGTCCAGTCTTCCTCATGTGAGAATGTTCCAGTGCAGGGATGTTGCTTCCGTAAAATTGTTGTGCCAGTGTGAAGTCTTGCACTACTATACTCTGGTGCTGTGGGTACCTTCCACTGCTTGGGATGCTGTGACATACTGCTTGGGATGCTGTGACATACTGCTTGGGATGCTGTGACATACTGCTTGGGATGCTGTGACATACTGCTTGGGATGCTGTGACATACTGCTTGGTGCTGTTCTGTCATGCTGTCTGTTGTGACCTCATTGCTGAGATTGAGTTTTTCTGAAGGTTCTTGTCATGTTGTTGTTTTCTTCGATTGCAGCTAAAGGTGTGGCCAGTTAGGATGCCTAGGAAGGACATTTGGCTTCTGTGAAATCTGTTTTGTGAGGGTATTGTGAAGTGGTTAGATTGTAAGTAAGTCTGTCTCTGAAGCCAGTAAAACATTGAAAAAACAAGAAGTGTGTTATTACAATAGTAATTACAAAAATACCCCACTTTCCTACAGGCATAACATGTTGCATATTCCTCCACAGAAAACAACTGTCCGAATTAGCTCTGCTCCGTCGGGGGGGGGAAGCATTAGCTGAACTGCAGCTCCATGTGTATTTTACTTTGCAGTCACCACTTCCTTTTATGTGCAGGCACAACTGTAAATGGGGTGATGCTATGAGTCATAGTCATAGTGAGTGAACTGACCTGGGTTAAAAATAATCCTCCAAGGAAGAGGAGAGGTAGCAGGAGGAAGTTTTGCTAATCCTGTTTTTCCATGTAAACCATCTAAGATGTTTTCAGCACTGGGACAAGAGCAAGCAGCCAGGCACCAGGGCAAGGATTAGGAGTAAGCTGCTCATAGGAACTCTCTTTAATGGGTGATGCTGCCAGGAAAAATACATGTAAAGTAATATTCTAACCTACAGCTAAAAAATAGCATTCTTTTGTTGAAAGGGAGTCTTGTCTCAAAAACGCAACACAGAAACACTTGTTCATAAAGAGCAAAACTTTTTATGTAACGGCAAAAGCATAATTATTTTTGTCGTGGACAATCTGCTTACCTTGTCTGGTTATAAAAAGTCTGCTCTTAGGTGTTCTAATCTGCTCTTAGTTGTTCTAAGGTTTAATTAAATCATTCAAGAAATGGTAATAGCAGTGCGAAGGTTCTTAAATTCTGCTCTGTTTCCATCTATTAAGGTCTTGTATCTGCTGAAGTGGGTGTGGAAGGAGGGATTGACAGTACATCGGTTTTGTGTTAAGACCAGTACAAGGGGGGAGCGATCAGGGTGGGTCTTCAACTCGGGACTTCTGAACTGCAGGTTTGAGTGATTCTTTAGGAATTTTTACCCTTTTGCTGTTACTTGCTTGTAGAGCCTGAGGTGAGCAGGCTGTGAGAGTGTAGTGGCACTGGCAGAAACTTTGAAAATTGTCACTGAAAGGACTTGGTTGGATTTCAGACTAGCTGTGTTAGGTTTTTGGTTCACTGGGCTCTTGCAAACTGACTACGTTAAGGATATGCTAAAGGCGTTTTGTTTTGTTTTTTTATTCCATGTATTATGTGTTTCTAGTATCTTTCTAAGAAATTTATGATTTTCTTTAGTTTTTCCTTGCAGGAAATGTTTTTATTTTTTCTCTGTATTTAGCCCATGGTCTGAGGAATCCTTGAGATCTCTGTGAATTAAAACTCTTCAGTAAGTTGAAACTGTCTTGTACGAGTTTTTTCAGGCTTTCTAAATCTTAATGTTTAAGACTGAGAATTATCTGAGTTGCTTTTGGAGTGGTAATATTGCCTGTTTGGACTTGGTACATCATTGGTAAAAAAGTGCATAACTTCCAAAGTAATGTGAATATTTTTGTCCTGCTGGCTTCAAAACTTGTTTTCCATCGTGGAATGTACGTGTAGCCATGGAGGTGCATCTCTGCCTTCTGCTTCTCGCAGAAAGGATGATTTTATACCTGCTAGAGAGGACTCCTGCACAGAACCCCACCCCGGCACTTCTAGCTGTCACACTGGCCCTTGTATGTTTTCCTTCAGTGCTGGGACTTCTCTTGGGTTGTCTGCTTGCTCTTTTTGATGAGAAGCAAATGCTGCTCTGACTTGCACCTACCACTGCTACCCACCTTGGGGCTGGACCCAGGCACTGCAGTGCACGCTTTCTTTGTGGGCCTCTTCTCCCGAACCAGAGCAGGAGCAGCCCCATTCACTCCTCCTGTGTTCTCTGGTTAACTTCTTCCTTCTAGCCTAACTGGCTTAGTGTTCCTAAAATTTCCTGCTTTTTATGTTTTTGGCATGAAAACAGAGCTTATGCTTATCCTAAGTGCTGGTTGAGTAACACTCAGCATTCATTCTTGCACCTTAGCTGGGTTGATGTAACTGTGGAACTAGATGATAACCTGGGTCAGGATACAGGGCAGTGTTAAAATAACCGTTCTCTTGTCCGGCGTGGAGTGCCGTGTTGCTCTGCATACAGCTGTCCTGGTGTACATGTGGAAGCGGATCAAGAGTGGGGCAGGGGCGGATTAAACAGAAACTTCTCAAGTGCTCCTCAAGCTGTCACAAGTCTGGCAGAAGTTATCAACAGTAACGTGTCAGATCAGGGCTTGTTGCCTTCCTGAAGGTGTTGTGTGATGCATGGCTGGAGAATGTGGTAACCTGGTGGTCGTATGTTCAGATTGCTGCTGCTGCCAGTAACATCAGGAGTTTCTGATATCCCAGCAACTTACCTTCTTAGATTGCAGGCAAATATCTCGCTGTTTGTTAAATGGAAAAATAAAAAATATTTCAAAAAAATCTTAAGGCTTTCAGAATCTTCCACCTTTAAAGAACAAAATTGCTTCCACTTGAAACTAAAAATATGTAATTGAAATAATGTATAGTTGAGAAACATTTTATTTCCCCATAGTCAATGAAGAAGACATTAGTGCCCACTAAAAAGCATTTTGTTCTTTTGGTTTTAAATCAAGGCCGATTCTTTAGAGAAGTGAGAGGAAAAGACTTGCTTCTTATGACTTGAAGGATGGCTCTGTATGCCTGCATAGTCCACAAAATGTTTGGCTTGGAAAAGATCCCCTTGTGCTGACTGGTGATGTAGTTGTGGGGTGTATCACTAGTTACACTGACTAATGTATCTCTCTTCTGTTCCTGAAAGAAAACTGTCTTTGTATCGATTAATGAAGGGGAACAGCTGCCTTTTATTAGAAAATATAACTGTGTAATGTTTTACAGTGACAGTATTTTCACCCAAAATTCACAACTGAAATAAATAACAACCTAAAAAAGATTCAATAAATCATGCTAACCCATCAAAAGTGTATTTGCACTACAGTTATACTGGATATTGCCACAAAATAAACTAAGAAGACTTTCTAAAGCGTTAAGTTGGGCTGACAAGATAGCAATTGATTTATAAGCAAGGAAGAAAGAAAAAATTAAATATAAATGGTCAGTCTCTTGCAGTATTTCTCCAGGTTTGCTTTGCTGAAAGCGGTAGCCAGACCTGGGTCTGCATATGACAACAATATCCCTGTTGGTTTGACAGACTTCTGATTTTAGAGTATTCTGCGCTAGCTAGCTAGCAACATGCGTCTCAATTCAAAATTCAAGGAAGAATCTAATACTGTAGAAGATCTGTGCCCCAGCAGGGATGTGATTTAAAAAAAAAGTCGTCAGTACTTTTGTACTGTTGTCTTGCAATGCTTCAGTTGTAAAGGTCACTGAGCAGGAACTGACACAACATGTTGCAGCAGGAGTAGCGTAGCTGGAATATTCTTTATTGTTTTTCTTATATTTGCTTGACAGAGGACACAGTCTGTAGCACTGATATTGTAGTCCAGACTGTGCTGTTGATGAATATTTGTGAAATGGGCAATAGGTGGGAATATTGAGCTTGCACCTTTTTTGGGTGATTTCAGTGGTTGGAAAAGCTGTATTTTTTTTTCCTGTTTTCACCGTAGGAATATGAGGGAAGACATGTTCAGCTGTCTGTGACTTTTGCAGGGCACCTTGGACATCTTGAGACATGCATTGAGAATTTTCACGTCATTTGGAATTTAAGCTGAATGGACAGTAATTTAAAAAAAAAAATCCAATCTTCCGTGAATGGCCAAGATATATTTTCCCTTTCAGCTGCTCAGTTTCTGGCTCATCGATTCTTGTGGTGTATTACCTTACTTGTTGTGCTCTGTGATAGTAAAACTTCAAAAAGAAGAAATGTGAATGTTACTGGGCTTCTCGACATTTCAGTGACCTTAACTCTCAGATGCATCCCAAAATGAACCTGGCTTCTTTTACACAAAAGGACAAAACTACACATTTTCTTCTCCAGGTCACCTGAAAGGGGAGGAGAATTTGGGGCTGGAATTCTCCAAGTCCCTTCTTTCACGAGGCTTTGTGCTTATCTCTTTCTCATCATGACAGGCTTGGAAATGCAAGATGTGTTAATATTTAGCATCAGAGAAGAGGTGAGATGCTTGCAGAAATAGGGGGGTTTGATGTAAGACTTGAAGCAAGATCACTGACACGATGTGTAGGGGCAGTGCAGCCAAAGAATGGTGGGACTAGCCCGCTTCTTACAGCATTGTAGATGTTTCTTTCGAGGCATGTTGTTCCTGTGAAAGGACAGGGAGATCTGTGGCAAATGATCGGAAAGTCACTTATGTAAAGGTGGTCTGCAAATCAATTTGACAACATCAGTTCAGTGTTTGTGCTGAATGCTCTCATTCTCCAGGCTAAGCAGAGAACAGCATTCAGCACATAACCGAAATGCTTACTATTTCTTTTTCTTAGGTTCTGTGAAGTCCAGCCCCGCTAGGACCTCCGGCTCCCGCTCCAATGTAACACCCACACATGCACCATGCTGGTGATATCACATCACCCAGGGATCCTGCTGGAGCTTGGAGCCGGCCTACAAGGGGTCAGGTAAGTACCACTTGAAAACAAACTCCACAGCCCGTTTCAAGGGTATCACTCTTAGTATTTCTTCTTAGTTCTTAAGGCCTAAGAAGAAAAATGTTTTGATGGATAAACTAGATACCCCTGTTCTCTTAGCCTGGCTAATGGGGCATATAATGTAATATGTATTGTTTACATTGATAAAAGTTTCACAAATTGATTTGCAGGTCACCTTTAACCTATAAAAGTGCACATATTTGGATAAGATATATTTAGTTTGCCATACATACCATGTTTTCTGCCTTCCCTTACAACATGCTGTGTATTATGTTTAGATGAGTTCATGATCTTGAAAAACCATGACTGGCTGCAGAAGTGTCAGGTTTGTTAACGTGACGGAGGCTACAACAATTGTTGAACTGACTTAGTTAGGTCAGCAAACCAGCTAGTCTAGTAGTTTTATATTAAATGTTTGAGATGTGTGAGATCTTGTAGCAGACTGATCTAGGAAGTTTGTTCTCACTTGCTGAAATAGGTGTTTTCTTGTTTGAAATGAGGGTTTGTGTCCTTTCCAAAATGAGCTTGTATCTCTTTTTTTTTTTTTTTTTAGCTCTGTAAAAAATCTTGCTGGATTAATTCCCTCATCCTTTATAATCTTGCTTCTCTGTAAGACTGGCAAAATCCTGTGACCAACTTCTACAGGGCAAACTACCTGTTGTCTGAAAAAGTTACATCTGAAGTTTATTTTCTCCTAGTTTACTTGTTTGTATGTGTTCTGGTATTATGAAAGAAAGTAAACAGATTAGGAGTATTTCCACTTCCTAGAAGAGATCAGAATATGTGCAGCCAGGTTTTTTCACCCAGGTTTTTTGTAGTTGCCTGTTCATTCTTACGGTCAACTTTTGAACCTATCATAATTTCACAGCAGTATCTCTGGTTGGTGTGCAGCAGTAATCCTATTCAGACAGATCCGTTTGTCAGCTTCTGCAATGGCATTTTTTTCTACTCTTCTCTGTTCTCATACAAAACACACTTCTTTTCTTGGTTGTTGCTATAGACTGATGTGATCCACATACTGTTTTCCAGCTGGAATTAATATCATAGATCCCAGCACTTGGGAGGGAATGTTTCAATAGCATACAACGTATATATTAGCCTGGTGTTTAGCTCAGAGTATTTTTTTGCTTTCAGTGCCCTTTCATGTAGCTCTGCCTTGTCTTTCTGTAGCTTTTCATGCTCCTGTGCACTTGCTTAACTCTAGTTTGCAAACTTCATTGCTCACTACCTCCTTTCTGAATTATAACCACAGACCTGAAGCCTTCATAACGCTGATGAAGAAGACTGGTCAAGTACTACCCTATTGCTTAGCAGTTTTCAGACACTTTTCAGAGTTGTTATGAATTATAAAGGCAACCAGCCAATATTCAGCAGTGTGGTAGCAGCTGAGCTAATGACTCTGACTTCTAAAACCGTGTTGTGTAGTCTGGTGTAGCATCATCTTTATGTTCTATTATTTCAATTAAGTTGTAAGATACAGAATTACAGTGTATTGTCCAGGAATTCCCAGTATCAGCTCTATAGCCTTCCTTAAACTATAGATAAATATTTTACCTTAGATTTATTTTTTTTCTTTTAGAAGGGATGGCTGTTGCTCGAGACATTCAGAAAATGACAGATCCTGATTCTGATATGTCTGCCTCTAATACTAGTATGTAAAAGCTGTTCTGAGGTGGAGTGGATAGAGGGGCACTTGAGTAACCAAATTTGTTATGTTTCAGTGAGAAGTGTGTGAGATGCTCTTTTGCAGAGTGTTGTAGGGGTACAGCATGCTGGCTGTTTGTGATGGATGACACCTGCATATGGGTAATACTTCGCTTTTTCTTTCTGTCCCTTCTGTTCCGTCGCATGGGCAGGGCTTCATTCAGGTGCATGAGGGTGGAATATAAATGGGGGCTGCATTAATTGCTGCTTGCAGAGCACAGTGTAGGTGGTGTGAGAGGCAGTCACAAGAATGTTGAGGAACGTGTGCATGTTGTCGTGTACTGATCTGTTTTATAGGAGTCCAGCTTAAGGGTCTCACAGGACCTGGAGTTGATTGTAGATGATATTCTGGGACTGAGTATGGTCTTTTGTTATTTAAATAGTGCTAAGTAAAGTAATTCACTTCTTTGTGGTGCTGTTTCTCAGGAAACTTTAGAATGTGTGAACTGTATCCAGTGCTGGCGTCCAGCTGAATAGCACTGACAGTATAGAAAACCTCAACATCCATTTGCGTTGGACTGTCTTATGCTGGCTCTGATCTCTAATGCTCTTGGTTGGCTGGGCTGGGACTCTCTGGAAGGATATTTTTCTTCATGTACTCTACTGACTCAGTGCAGGCCCTGAGCTGGGATCCCTTTTTGTTTAAATAGGATGGAACAGAACTACAACTCTGAAATTTGTTCTCTTCTCTGCTCTACAAGGGCATTTTGAACACAGGAATAAAAAAATGTTTCTTGGCTCTTGAGAGAAGGGAAGTGGCTTGTCTAATGTAAGAGAGCTGTTAAGAGTTGGTACGTTCGGATATGTGATTGTGGTCTTGGTCGTTATGCGTAGTGACATCTTTCATGAAATCTTTCTTTCTCTTTCAGTTTTAAGATAAGTCTGGGACAGGTGACTCACCAAATTAAAGAGCAGTGCGAATCTTTTGTAATGAATAGTCCTGAAGCGAACAATGTGATAGTGTTGGACCACGTGGTTTCTTTTGACTCTGACATCTGCGAATATCTGATTTGCTGTTTCGCCCAGTAGCACAAGCTGTGTCTCAGTCTCCTCACTGTTCTCCAGAGCTGTTTATTTTCTTCCAGAATGTTTTTCTTGTGTGTTTACTGTCCTTGGATTTTTCTATGAAGCAGATGTTTCCAAACTCTAGGTTTTCTGAAACAGTAATGTGAGCTCAGGCCATTAACTGTATGAGAGGCTGGGAGAATGCAAGACCCAAGGTATCAAGAGGGTTTCTTTCTCCAGAGGGAACAAACACTGTCTGAGGGATTTCAAAGTGCATTTAGTATTTTTCACTGACACCGTGATCTGGTTGAAGCAACCTGTAGTTGTCAGGGTAATGCCTTGAGAGGTGAGTGGCAATAGGAATGTGAATTAGGAATAAAGACAGAGGCAGTCGAGTTGGTGGTAGATATGTATCCTGTGCCATTGGGAGCCATGGGAAGTGTTCAGGAAACTGCTCTGTGGCATGAAGACAGAGTACAACCCTTTTTGTACTTCTCAGGAGGACCTGGTGGAGAGACTTGTTGGACTGAGTTCATATTGGTTCTACCTGCTGTGCTTCTTGGCAGTGGAAATAACCTGTGGAAATATCTGTCTTTCAAACAGATACGAAGTTTGCAAGCCAAGTGAGGATGGCTCGGAGTATGTTACTCTCTCTGTTTACTTTCGGGAAAAGACAATGAGGCAATCCAGCAATACTTCAGGGACCGTACTCTTTGGTCAGCCACTATTAATATCTGTGCCGAAACACAAGCTCACTGTGGATCACTTGTACAGTGTGGTTTTGGAGCAGATCAGGTAAGTCATGTCTGCACCTTCGAATCCTATGCAAAGTTCTAGTGGTTGCTTATTCAATTGCACTGTAGCAGGATTACTGCATCCTTGTTAATGGGAAGAATTTTCCTTGACTTGTGTGTGGCGTATAGACCAGGATTTGCATTGCATTAGTGTCTGGTGGCCCCAGGGACATTTCAAGGTCCTAGTTTTTTGGGCTCTGTAAAAGCAGGCCGTAAGGGAATGCTGGTGGTGGTCACAAGGGAAGCTATCTGCTTGGTGTTGCAAAACGGGTTAGGAGCAGAACTCAGACCATGTTTTCAGGGCTCTCAGATGGGGTCACCGTAACTTATTTTTGCCTTTTCCATTTACTGCCAGTAAAACTTGGAACAAGCAGTGAGAACAGAGACTTACTGAATTGTTGATGTTTGACTCATTCTGAGATGCTGTACAGGATGGGTTCTGGTTTGCTGAGGGGATTGGACAACAAGAACTGATGATGGAGAGGGGTGCTGTTGTTCTGATGTACATTGTATGATAAACATATTCCCTCTCTTTAGCCGCTATGTGAAACTCCCTTTGGCGGAAGAATACTCTACACCCTGCCCAGACAAAGGAACCTGCAATGGCTCCAATGGTGTGGTTGAAGGTAAAGTCCTTTCAAAATTGGCTGGAAGCTTTTCAACACTTAAAGCTTTTTATTAGTATTTGGTTTGTACTGTGTATATTTGGTTTAAGCTCTAGCAGATTGTTTTTTCACAATGATTAAACCATGCCATTGCATAGGACTTCTGCATGATATGGTGAGAATTCTTGTAGACGTTTTCCTTCCAAGGGAGATCAGATGTGTGTAACCAGGAGCAGGAGAACAAGGTACGGGATGCATTCATCTTGACCAATGTTAGGGAAGTCCTTGCTTCCCTATTAGGTGTTCAGGTGCCTCCCTCCAGAGGCAGCTCCTTTCCTAATATGCCCTTTGGTGATGAAAACTGGCTTGTTAGGTCACAAAGACAAGTTCTGGGGAAATAAAGTGGAAATGGTATTTTCTATTCATGGACCTAGAATCATGAGGTCTCATTCCTAGGTTAGATGCTTACAAAGAAGCTTTTAACATTAATGGCAAATGCATGTTTCTCTTTCTTCTTTGAAACGATTCACTTGTGCTGCTGTGAGAGTAACAACTAGAACAAGTTAAATGGGAAATTTTAAATGGGGAAAAAAATCTGCCCAGTTTCCCCAAAGAATGGAAATAACTTTCCTGGAGACTTACATATTCCCTTCTGTAAAGACACCCAACTGCAACCTTGCTGATTCTGTCTTGGGATGTTTATTAAGGTGTGCTATCAGAAAGTGTGATTGTTAACCGTCTGTGAACTGAGCACTCTCTGTCATGTCTGATACTAGGATATAAAACCCAGCACATTACCTGGCATCTGCTAAAGGAAAAAAAAAAAAGTTTGGTGGGTGTTTTTTTTTGTTTTGTGGTTTGTTTGTTTGTTTGTTTGTTTCCAAAAACTCCACAACTTCAGAGGTAGTGGTTAGCAAGCACAGATTTCTTTTTCTCCGTGTCTTTTCATTACTTTCTGAGTAATCAGTGTGTGTCATAACAGGCTCATGCAAACAGCTGTCAATGTGAGGTGTCACTCTAAACTTTCAATGAAGCTCTTTAATATTGTACTTGTTTTAAATGTTGCCAGGTGACATTGAAGAGATGGAGCATCAGGATGGCGGACAGGAAGGCAAGGAGAAGCTGGCAGAAGTTGATCCCTGCCACTCTGAGGGTTGTATGCAGATCGAGTCAGCAAGAGACCTGCAGCCTTGCAAGAAGCAGCATTTCACTTTTAGCCTCGTGAATTCCTCTGGGACCTCCGAGATAAGCTCCATTGTAGAAGGAAAAATCTTAAAACTGAATGGTAATTATTGTCTTGCTATGTTTTTTTTTTTCTTCCTTCTCCTTACACATTTGCAATAAATGTTTCTTCTTTCTTGTAGCTTTTTCTGCGCTTGCTATTGACTGGGATTCTGATACACGGAGGCTACTTTTTGATGAACAGGAAGCACAGGTTGTAGTATGCTCTTTTCATAAATAATCTATATGTAAATTTGCATGGTACTTAAAATATTACAGTAAATGGTGAAATGTAGGTGTAGCTCCCTTCATAAAAATTGGAGTCACCAGCATGAGATATGTTTACTTAAAATCTTTTAGTGATAAGGTCTATAGATCTATAATTGCTGATCTGTTTCCAGTGTATTCTGAAAAGTAGACGTTTTAATTTCAAAGCTAAGTACTCTAATTCATAGTCTACTCAAACAAAACAAACCCCCAAAACTCAAAAGAAACCTGAAACCAAATTCATAGAGCCTAGTAGAAAGCTCAGTATTCTTTCTGTGAGAGTTCTGCTGGATCCTGTTTTGTAACAGAATAACCTGTTGTTACTCTTTTGCAAAAAACCCAAACCCCACCAACTTTGAAGTAAGGACATACTATATTTTCTCTACGGACTGTTCATAACACAAGAAAGGAGTGGCTGGAAGCTTGAGATGATTGTGTGGGTGGAGAAGGGGGGGCAGAAATAGGCAGCGTGGTGAAGGTGAGCATGTTCTTTTTCGTGATGTCAAGGATTAAAGACTATGTGGAATTGAATAAAGCATGCATCTCTTTCACCAGGCATTTGAAAAACATGGAAGTATGTTACAACCACAGAAGAAGAAGGCTGTGGTAGCCCTCAGAGACTGCATAGAGCTCTTCACTACTATGGAAACGCTTGGTGAACATGACCCGTGGTAAGAGCCTCTGGCTGCCTGCCATGTTTATCGTAAAATGCCATAACTATTTGAGTTCACATTATTTGTCATGGGATTCTGATAATTTCCTGGGTCTATCCCTTTGTCTTCATCTGTGAGAAGTCTTATCAGTTCTGTGTTAAGTCATTGACTCAATAGGCTGCAGATGTGGGTTAGTAAAAAGTATTTGTTTCCTGCCTTTTTTTTTTTTTTTAATAAAGTGGCCATGGGCTTGTGGCTTCCAAAGATCAGGCTATTTTTAATTCCCCAGCATACATCTGTCTTCTAGACAGTGTCAGAGGAAGCAGTTGTGGTAATAGAGTGAAAGCATGTGGCTACCTTAGGCTTTCATCCTGTATTATTTCTAGCTTGAACCAGTCCTGACCTGCCCCGAACTCTACCAGAAATCCCTAGCCAGAGGGGCTAGGTACAGCAGATCCTAAGTGATCAAAATGTGATTACTGTGTAGTAAGACAGTAAGATGATCTTTGGAGGTTGTTTGCTAGCTGTGTAAGAAGATAACTTACAGTGTAGTAGGTGATGGTTTGATTTCCAATTACATGCTATAGATGTGTTTGCAACTGTTACCTCTTTGAGCTGCATCAGGAGATAATAAAGAAGTAACGGGACCTTTAAACCTCTTTTTTAATGTAGAAAAGAAAAACAAATTTTTGTACAATATTCAGTTAACACACTTGCCATAGGACATTTTGCCTATAAAGTGAAAGCAAGTTGCAGTTTGGAAACCTCTGAGGAAGTGTGTTCACCTGCATATTCCACAGCCAAAATGCCTTCTATAAGGCAGGGACTGTACTGCACTATTGAGGCATCTTTTAATGGAAGGCCAGAAGCTTTTCTTTTAACGTAGTCATTCATTTCCTTGTTTGTTACTCCTTCCTCAGGTACTGCCCTAACTGTAAGAAACATCAACAGGCCACAAAGAAGTTTGACTTGTGGTCTTTGCCCAGGATTTTGGTAGTGCATTTAAAACGCTTCTCATACAGCAGATACTGGAGGGATAAGCTTGACACTGTTGTGGAATTCCCTATCAGGTAGGATTCTTCCCTCAAACTAGGCAGAGCTTGAAGAAGCTGGTCAAGAGGAATCTACTTCTGATGTTACTGTTGGGTGGGCTTGTTATTAAAGCTGTAACTGGAACAGCTCTGTCTTCCGGGTTTGAACTGTAAGACAACAGGCATGAGTCAAGTTGTTTTTTTCTTTTTTTTTTTTTTGGTTTCGGTTTTTTTGTTTGTTTGTTTTAATCTTAACCTTAATCAGTTCTTCACGTCTCAAAGAACACTAGTTACTAGGAGGTACTGTTTCTTCTGAAATTAGGTTAAATCCTTGTGATTCTGCTGAACTTCCACAGAGAGTTTAGCAAATTTGTTGGACAGAGCTGTACTTGTAGTACTGAGGATTGCACAAGTACAAGGTGAAAGCCTGCCTCATCCCTCTGCTTCTGCTTGTCAGCATCTTGCTGCAGGATGAAGTGTGTACCTTACTACTCCTATCTGACTTTTCATGCCTACACAGGGACACTCTGACCTGTCTTATTCAGCACCTCCCTCTAAATCTTTTGGCAGCGCTTGATGTGTTTACCAGGGCCTGCCCTGTGTGGGAGGGGTGACATGTCTGGTCTTTACGCTAATAACATCTGGCTGTTGAGCAGCAGAGTGCAGCACATCTCCACCAGTGCTGCCTGCCTGCAGAGCTTCACTGGTGTCATGCTGATTACTGGTGTACTGATGCTTTTGGATTTCCTTGCAGGGGTTTAAACATGTCCGAGTTTGTCTGTGACCCAAGAGCAGGCTCATACGTGTACGACCTCATTGCTGTTTCCAATCACTATGGAGCCATGGGAGTAGGCCACTGTGAGTAACTGCTTCTCTGTCCTTTGTACGTGAGCAAACATAGGCAGAGGGGTCATGGGAGGGCTCTGTGTGTTGGAGACGTGCAGCAGCCCTCACCAAGCAAGTCTAGTCCAAAACTCACCTGTGTTGTGTATGCAGGTGGGTATCATATTGGAAGGTAACGTCCTTCCTGTTAGGATTTGCAGAGCAGCTAGTCAGTTTTTGTGTAGTTTGCAGCTGCCTGAGGTCTGACTCTGATGCCTGTGGGACCTTGGTTAGTAGTCACTGGAGTGTGTGATGGTGTTCCCCAACGTGTGAGTGGAGTCCAAGGTTTTTCAATGCCGAACATGAAATTGTGCAAAGAAGCTTCTTACTGGAGAGCGTGGGGGAGAGTCTTCAGTGTAAGCTGTTAGTTCAGCTCCAGGACTCAGCTTCTTGCCCTGCAGCACACCAGAGGGCAGCTGCTTCTCCAGTGTGGGTTGCAGCATGACAGCTGCAGAGCAGAGATTGCCAGCATTCAAGCCAGCCAAGCAGGAGCTTGCCAGGTTCCCTCGGTGGTGGTGAGACAAGGTCTGACGAGCAGCAGTCACCTGTAGGCCAGGAAGACAGAGCAGAGGGCATACCTTGTCATGAAGCTGGGTCTGATGCCTTTCTGCATTTCTTGTCCTGAATTCTGTTTGCTGCAATAGCAATTTAAAGCACTTTTTTTTCCCCCCTTTCATTTTCCTTTGTTCCAGAGTTTTTCTAAAACAAGCCACAGACAAATGTGTAGTTCTTGGGACCTCTTGGTTGCACAGCTGGCACTAGCTTGCAGTAGAATGTCTCCACCTTTGCGCTGGCAAGGGCTCACATAGCAGGGAAAATGTCATGCCATCAGGAGAAAAAAACCCTTTGTTATGTATGACAAGTCTGTATTTTCTGTCACTGGTTTTGTTGCAGCATAGATGAAATACATCTGTAGGTGGAGATCCCTGTATCAGGTGTCTGTGCAGATCCATGCTGTAGATGATGCTTCTAGAACCACCCAGAAGTATTTCACTATGAGAGGATGAGGAACCCCTGTTTGGCAGTGTATGTGCTTAACTCGTAGGGTATGTCGCTGTAGGATAGCATTGGCTGAAGGGGGATATGTTTTGAGATTGGAGATCATGGTCACAGAAGTCTTGGTTGGAAGAGACTTTGCAGGACTTTAGTCCAACTTCCTTCTTGAGTGAGGACTCTTGCAAGCACTAGATCAGATCCATCATCAAGAGAAAACTTTTCTTTCATGTGAAAAATGAAAATGCAGCGTCTTCAAACTGTGTCTAGGAAAGCTCTGGCTCAAGGGGGGTGAACAAAACACTATGGTTTTTTTTTTCCCTAAGTTTCTTTGCCCTACATCTCGGCTGTCAGGGGTAAGTCTGGTATGTGGGACATGGTTCTAGACTAGCTGGACCAGCTAGCATGTTCTGGAAGATGTGTATGTTGGTGAACTAGGTTTGGGATAGTTAATGTCAAAGCTAGCTCCTGGCCTCCCGTGCATGCTCAGTTTGAGTCTTGAGCGTCGCTGGTGCAGCGCAGCTGGCGTGGCGTTACCTACTGGTCTTCCTTGGAGTACTGAGCTGCAGTTTCTTCTCCTGACAGACACTGCCTACGCAAAGAACAAAGTGAACGACAAGTGGTACTACTTCGATGACAGCAGTGTATCGGTGGCTTCAGAAGACCAAATAGTGGTGAGTATTTGGCCTGAGGCTAATCTGAATTTGTGCTGAAAGTGTGGTTCCCTGCTTTGGGCGTTATATTTCCAGCCAAGCTGCGTGGATTGTTTCAGATGGTTTTCTTCTTTGTTTGGTAGACAAAAGCTGCATATGTGCTGTTTTATCAGCGCCGAAACAGTGAGGAACATACTGCCCCATCTCCTCCCCAAGAAGAGTGTGACGGCATGGATACCAACTAAACATCACCTCCAGCACTCGGCCACCATGTTAGCGGTCGCTCTTCTAAAGCCATGCCTGAGGCGTCTGAAATTTTTTCTTCCTTCTGTAGGAGTCAAGCAGAAAATCTAGCACTGAAAGATTCAGTGCTGGGGGTTGCAGAATAGCACTGGAGAGCCAGGAATAGGTGCTGACACTTGGGTATTTAGAGGCCAAAAATAATATATATTGGAGCTTCAATAAAGTTCTTTTTAAAATCTGGCTGAGCTGTGTGGCTAGAGGCAGGGGTCGGGGCTGAGCTGGGCTGGGGCTGTGGGTCTTGGCCTGAGGGTTGTAGCTGGGGTCGGGAGAGTACAGCCTGAGCTGGAGGCCTGGCCACAGCTGGGCCTTGTGGGGCCCTTGGAGGAGTACAATGGGTACGATTCTGTGAATCGGCATGGGGGCTTCCTGCCAGCTCTCTGGTGTTGCTGTTGGGCTCTGCCTGTGTCAGGGAGGCTTGCTGCAGCCTTTCTGGAAGCTCGGTTCAAATCTTTGTACATTTGGCCTGTCTGTTGCAGTCTTTGCCATCGTACCTTGGTCCCCTTGCTAAGCAGCAAAGGTTTCTCTTTCTTGTGTCCTTTCACCGATGCATTTGAGGCTCTTCTGGGCAGTTTTGACTCATCTTTTTTCATGTGAACACTGAATCCTGTAATGTAGGAAACTTCACCGGAAGCAAATCATACCTGCCTATGGTATGGCATATATGCAGGCTGATCCCCACAGCAATGCAGGATACAGCTGTTACGGCTTTGGCTCCCATTATTCTGCAGAAAAAGGCGTCATCCATAAGGTTGGCGATTTCTTGTCCTCCCCATTCATCTCCTACACCCCTCACTTCCAGGCTGCTCTGTAAGTACTTTTCTGCCTCCACCATTTCTCCTATGGTTTGTGCAGTGGCAGCATTGTTATCCTTTTTTGCTCATTTATGTGGCTCCTTGGAATTTTCTCTCCAGCAAAGCTCAGCCCTGCGTCCCCAGAGCTGTCGCCTGTAAGGATGACAGCCCAATGCGATGGATTGTGTGAGTTTTCAGTCTTTTCTCTTGCGACTTTTGTTTTTTTGGACTGCTGTTTCAGCCTTGCTCTTCCACCCTTGAGCGCTGCTGTTTAGATCCCCCACCCCCTCATCTTCTGTGAGGCTGCAGGTGTGAAGGTCCTGTCCGAGGTCTCTCTTTGCCTTAGCTGTTCAATAGTTCTGCTCCATCTTTCGGTGCAACTGGCAAATGCTCTTCCCTCTGTCCTCCTTTACTGTCTGTGTTACTTGCAGGACTCAAGTTCAGCTTTCTTCTTGAATGAGGACTCCTGTGAGCACTAGATCAGCTCAGTCCTCAGTGGAGAACTGGTCTTCCCTGTGAAAAAGGGAAAAATCTAGAGCCTTAGTCTGTGTTTTTTGGGGGAAGATCTAGCTCAAGGTGGTGAACCAAACAGGAGGGTTTTTCCTTCTTGCAGCCAAGTGTGTTAGCAGAACAAAAGGCTAAGGCAGGCTACTGCTCTGCTTCCCCCCCCCCCGAAATGTGTGCTTGCAGCCCTTCTTGCAGCCAAGTGTGTTAGCAGAACAAAAGGCTAAGGCAGGCTACTGCTCTGCTTCCCCCCCCCCGAAATGTGTGCTTGCAGCCACTCGGTCCTCTGTGCACAGGCCCTGTGGCTTCATTGCTGACCATAACCACCTCTGATGGTCAGCGTAACAGCGGTCATCCATTTAACTCCAAATATGCCAGCTCAGCTCTCTTTCCACAGCTCTCAGCGACAAGCCCCATAGGAAATTGTTGGGTGCCCGTCCCTGCTGTGCTGCAGCCGAGCAAAAGCCCAGCCAGCTACTCGCTGTCTTCTCCTGCTCCGAGCAATGGGAGAAGGGAGGGCAGCACATTGCGGCCCCTTAGTCAGGGCGCTGGAAGGCGATAGAGAGCAGGAGGGCGGGCTGCCTCTGGCTGGCGCACTAGCGTTGTGATCCTCTTCCGCGAAATTTTGCTTTTAAAGCATTGAAATCTGAATTTTGAGATCAGAATTGCTTAATTGCTTCTGCTGTTCTGGTTTTCGGGTTGTTTGGGATTTTTACAGCTCTTAATATTGTATTTCTGTTTTTTTCCTCGTTACTGAGGGGAGCATCCAAAAAGCAGTTTTTAAGCTGTAGCACTGCACTGAATTACTCTGATCAGCATTTTTTTGTTCGTTTTACCCTGAAAGAAAATCATGTGGGCATTCCGAAATGGGGAAGAGAGGAAAGGGAGGGGAGTAAAAGACCTTTTTAAAAGAAAAATCAATCTGCAGTATCCTTTGTTCTCCTCCTCGCCTCCCTACCTGTGCCGACACTGAGAAACTGTGGGGCTAAATCTCCGATGCTCAGATGCTGAACAGACTCGGTTGTACCGCAGAAAAAGTGGCCCAGCTCTTACTTTCTCTGCCTCTGAGCTGATGGGCTGTAGCTGGGGTGTGTGTGTGTGCTGTAATACCAGACCTGTTTTTTAGACTAGCACTTTGTAAGTGGCTGGCTCTATTGTACAAAGAGGAAAATTAAAGAGTGGTTTGCACTGAAACTGGGTTTTGTTGTATTTTCAGCCTTCATTATGTGGCCTGAGACTGCTGGTTGTGGGGATGCCTGGTGCTCCAGGAGCTCTTTCAGCTGGGGGAGGGTGAGTCCTGCGGAGCCAACCCTTCCCTTCTCTGCCAGTGGGGATCTGGGAGAAAAGCAGCCGTTGCCTGCGCCGTGCTCTACATCTGAGAGTTCGTGCTCGCTGCAGGGTTGCCTTTTCTTGCCTGTGGCGCTGGATTGCTGATACCTGGTGCTGTAGCAAAACCCGTCCTTGCCTTTCTCTTGTGCTGGGTAGCCTCAGCTACGGCTTCCTCATCATTCTTCTTCCTCTGCGGATCTCGGGGCGGTCCTGGCCTTCCTTCTGTCCGTTTTCTCCAGGGGTATCAGGGCTTCTTGTGGCTGTAGCACTGAAATAGTTGTCCTGCAGTCGCTGCAGTTTCCTCCTCAGGGCAACCTGAACGCGTACACAAGAGCACGCTGGAAAAGACTGAGGAAGCGAAATGTAACAGGCTTGTGTGCATTTAGCATTGGTGTGCGTGCAGGGGATCTGGGGGATTGTCAAAATCTTGCAGGTCAAGGCAGGCTGTGAAGCCCCGGTAAGAAGGTTTGAAGTCTTCATGTTGCGATTACAGTGTAATAGCGGAGGAGCTTGATCTTAGCTGGAGCCTGAGAGAGGGTTAGAAGAGCCTTAGTGTAGAACGGCAGATGGTGAGCTTCGCTATGAAATGCTGACCACTGAAGCGTGGTGTGAAACCCATGACGGGAAGAAGGGAAAGCAAAGGGGTAGCTTTTGGGTGCGGGGGCGTTTGGGTATTCTGTGTCAGCGTGCGGGAACGGCTTATACAAGAACTCCGAGGACATGAAGCGAAATGAAATTCCCCACTGCAAAAGGGAGGGAAAAATAACCTGAAACACAAGTTGTGTTGTCAGTGAAGCACTGTTACTGCATTCAGGAAAGGGGTCTCTGGGGCAGAAAAGAGCATCTCTGAGCTAAGGCTCCTGTTCAGAAGGGAGATGGTTTTGGTAGGAACCAAAAACAGGCTGTCTCTCAGTCCTGGCTCAGCTCCTGCTTTGAAGAGGGTGTGCAATTTCACCCTGAAAAAAACAGGCTCAGAATAAAGACGGGGAAAAAAATAACAGCTACAGGGCACGGAACAGCTTCTAAGAAGCATTTCCCCAGGCTAGGACTCTTCTCCCTGGGGAAGAGCGATCTGAGGAGCTCCTGCAGAAGGACAAGGCAGGAACAGTCGCTCCCTGTTCCCTACAGTGCAAGAAGATGGTCAGGCAGGAGGCTTAGAACAAGGTATTTATTTCCCCCACCTGGAACAGTATCAACTGAACAGGGACTACAGGGAACAGCCAGGCACCCTTGCGAGGTGTACATCCTGCTGCGAGTGTGGCAGGCAGGAAGGGCTCTGTAGGCAGTCTGAGGTGCTTAGAAATGGACTTGGGATCAAATTAATGGGGAAATAGTCTGTGTGTTTGCTACCTCTGCGTAGAAATGCCATCTCTGGCTCTCCGCTGCCCAAAGACCTCTGAGGACCTGCTCTGCCCAGGAACGAAAGCAGCAAAGAGGGGGCCAGAAGTTGCCCCCGTGACCACCGGTGTGTCCACCAGCAGGCTGACCAGGGCACAAGGCGGCAGATGGGATTTTGCAGCACTGGGGAGCCTTGGTGCAGGCTTGGCTACGAGAGGAAGGTGAGCTGTCCCATGCTTTGCTGTGGGCAAGTGGTGAGTATCTCCCTCTTGCTTCTGTTTCCTTCTGAGAAATCTTCAAACCCCGATTATTGTAATGGGAAAACGAGTATAAAGAGGAAGGACAACCACCGCTTTCAGAAACTGAGTCCCCACACTGCTTCTGAAGATGCGTTAGAGACTTTGTCACTGTCAGTTTTGAATCGTTGACGTGATGTTGTCTTAATTGTTCAAAAGCAAAGGATAACTAGCTATTCACTTGTTTAAAAGCATAAAACCAGAAGCATACGCGCTACTTGTACTTTTTCAGTCTCACGAAGTTTTAAGTTCCTTAACTCAACCAAGTTCGCTCTTTGTGTACTAGAACTAGAAATTTTAGGTCTCTTCTCCAGCATACATTTCCCAGGAAGAGAAACAATTCCAGCTAGAAACCCACACCGAGAGCCTTTGGCTCAAATACGACATACTTGGTCCTGGGGCTCAAATCAAAGGTAACTGCAGTTCTGAACATGGTGTTTTCCTTTTATTCTCAGCCTTGCTAAAATACATTATATAGTTTTAAGTAACAGATTTCTTTTCAAATTACTTTTACAAGAAGAGACAAAAGCATATTCTCAAATTCAGAAGATGGAGGTCTGAAGTTCTTCCTTAAACATGCCTTCAAAATGGAGGTCCTTTGCCATGAGCTCCTCTTCGACATCTTCTAAGGCCCACTGATGATCAGTCAATTCTAAAGCTTCCCATTCCGTCTGCATTGATAATGAACAGAGGTAGAGAAAGCAAAGCAACACAGTATTAAAGTAGTTAGACAAGAACTGTGCAAAGCAGTGCTTACCTTAGAAACTGCAACAAAAGCAAGTTCTATTAAAAACCTGGCAATCCTGTCAATTCTCTGAAATCAGTGTTTTACACTTAATTGGGTATTAGATAGTTGGTCAATACAAGTACATCATAGAAATTAGAAAAATGACATTATCTACTTTTTGAAAACCCTCTCATCTTCTGGAATAGTCCATTTCTTCTAAAAGAGCTGTCTCTAGAAACAGAGCTAATTCTGTTCTGGGGGGGCCAAGGGCCTTGTGGTTAGTTAATTCTTTAGTTCAGAGACATTTGATAGAAACAGTTACAGGCCAAAACTTTTGCAGCTGCTCACAGACTTGATGTGCCTCGTTAGACTGTTCTCCGACCAACAAGCTCCCTTGGAGCTGGAGAGTTCATTAATTCATTAAGCCATAGTATAGCACAGTGTCCATAGCAGCCCAAGACCTAAGAACAAATTTCATCCTAAATATGAGAATGATCTCCCCCGCTACTCATTTGCCACCACCTACGAACACAAATCTCTCCTCCTCTTAGTCTGTTAAGCGCTGCTCCAGTAAGTGTCGTGGAATAAGCTGCATACAGCCTGCAAAATCACGTCATGCGATGCCTGTAAAGAGATTTGTATTTCTTGGCCAGAACACTTCTGCAATATGGGCTTGCTTTCTTTGTTCCTGCTGGG